ATCTGAATGTGCTCCACGTGTGTTTAATTAGGTTTAATTATCTGAACGTGCTCCTGCCGAACTTTGTTAATAAAACATCATTTAACCATAATATCCAGTGGCAAATTCCCGCAGGACTGACCAAGATGAAGCTATTCTCTGCGGGTACATGAGTGCTGACCGGCTGCTGACAGCCTGGACCTCGCATCTGCGAAAGCGTCTAAACTAATTGTAAAATAGGCGCTATGTTGAATGAATGCGGCATTTATATAGCGCTTTCATATGTACAACTGTACACCCAAAGCGCTTTACAATCATATCAGGGAATCTCTCCTCCTCCACCACCAGTGTGCAGCATCCACTTGGATGATGCGACGGCAGCCACAGTACAACGGCGCCAGTGCGCTCACCACACACCAGCTATAGGTGGAGAGGAGAGAGAGTGATAGACCTCAAATATGTGAACATGAATTGAATGAATTTAACTGAATTGGCTCTAAGTAACTACATCCTTGCTTAAAAAACTCTTAAAACTACATTTCGTGACACGTATTATTTTTTAAAAATATGGCGGATTTGCTCGACCTCCATGTCGACCTCCGCAAGTAGAGTGATACAAACGATGAAACGGTTCGAGTGCTGATACTGTGGGAATATCACATGGCTGAAAAAGGCTCTCAGATCAGATTCGAGAACCAGAAAGAACTGTTGTATAATTGTTTATATTTAATTTTTAAAACAGCCCAAGCAGGCCTATAAAATGGTGCATAAAACAAATTCATAATGAAAAAACTGTAAATAATAAATCAGCTCCATAGCAGATTCCAAGTGAGCAAGGGCTTAGGGCGTTCCATTTAAACACATTTCAAGGGTTCTACCAGTAATGGGCACTCGTGCAATGTAAGCAACGACGTGCATACAAGTGAAATAGACAGAGAGGAAGGGCATAAAAAATTGGACTTAAACAGTGCTTTGCTCGAAATCACACCCTAAACCCTAATTTACTATTCCCTACATTACTCCACTAATATAGTCCACTTGAAGGAGTGAATGAAAGCAAGTGAGTGAATTCGGACACTGAGTGCGTTGGAAGGGCTGCCGCTTTAGCATATTTTGTGCTTGCTGTTTAATAATCATTTAAAACTTAGCAAACTGGCAGCTCCAGTAGTAAGATGAAAATATTTATCATGAACTCTGCCATGGAAACTAGCATGTATAACCCTTAATTAAACAATTTAATAATCAATCTAAAAATAATTTATACCTGCATGACTACGCTGTAGCCACATTGGACCAGCGTTTTGAAAAATGAATGGATGATTTAGCTGCGTGCGCCATCTTCTGGTCAGTCGTGGAAATTCATTCGACTCGCGACTGCTTGCTGCATTTTTTTTTTTTTTTTTTTTTTGAGAGAGAGACATCTTTATTCACATACATACTAATGCCAAGAACAAAGAAGATGATCAAGTATGTGAACTGGTCCCCAAAGAAGCTCTAAAGCTTATACTCGGGGGCCATAACAATCAAAGTAAAAAAAGTAAAAAACAAACAAGAACAAACAAAAAAAAAAAACGATCGCAGATGTGTGACCATACATAGAAAATATTTCATACAACATTCGTACAACAAATAATAGGGGATCCCATTTCACAAGTACAGTTTTTCTTCACAGTGTACCATGAGATTATAAAATTAATACTGACATACATACAAAGTAAGAGATAATACATACTTCAAGAAAATGAATACAGACTCAATAATTGTTTCTTGAGCTTTTGTTTAAAATAAAGAAAAGAACTTGAATTTTTTAAGTTTTCATCCAGGTCGTTCCAAATCCGCGGTCCCCGGCACACCACACTCATACCAGTGCTTTTTAATCTCCGTTTTTTTCCAGTAATAATGTGCTTATTTCTAGTGCATCCCAATTCAGAGAATGCATTCTTCGAAGGGCACATTCGAAGGCCGATTGGCGCGACAAAGGCTGTCCCAATTCAAAGGCTCCTTCAAATGCGGCCTCCAAATGCATCGTTTGTTTTCCGTGAAATGAAGGATAGAACAGATGGATCCTTTGCGTCCTTGCGACCCCAGAATTCATTGGATGTCAGTGACGAAAGGATTTTTTTTTTTAGATAAATTGCTGAATTGTACTTTTAAACGTATTGGGTTTCAACTTACTCAAATATCTAATTATGCAAATGTAAAAAATTAAGAAAAAAACCTTGTTAAAATGTTGACATATCTTACTATATTACTATTATATATAGTTTATACTCTTTATTAGGCTATATACAGAAATTGACCATGGTAACATATTTAGACAGTTTGTGAACCCTGTTTTATTTAATATAACTTTAGTACAAACATTACTGTCACTCATCAACCCAGCTGTCACAGTTGCTAGGCGACAAGAAGCCTTTGAGTTGGGACACAGCCGATTACGAGACAACACCAACATCATTAAACGATAACTGTGACTATATCAACATGGGATCACTGACGAAAAAGACGAGACTAAAATGTAGTAAAATTATTTTTAAATTTGACCAAAACCTCTCTTTGTTTTTGTCGAATAAAAAGATAAGACAAAACGTTACATTCTGTTTTTAAAAAGCTTCTATGAGCTTTCATGCTTGCAGTTGCCAGGTGTCAAGATTGTAAACCCCCCAATCAGAGCTTTTCTGTTACATACATCAGGATACATTTTCTGTCCGGTGCTTTACTTAAACGTACAGTATGTAATTTTCCATTTAATTTTTGGCCACCAGGGGTCGCTACTCTCTTACAATAACAAAGGCGTATATCGATGATGCAAAGCATAAAGCGGAATTATGGATCTTGTCGTCAAGCTGATGGATCTTTTATGGATGAGTGAATACAGTGATGTTTTTAACATGACTGTGGTATGAAGCAGGGCGCGATTGCTAATGAGAGACGTATACTAGCGCCACATGCAACGCGAGTACCGCGGATATAAAGGAATAAGGACATTTCATTCTACCGAACTACACGCAAGTGCTGAATTAATAAGTTACTCACAGGTCAGTTTATTAGACGAATTAAACTTGAGGTAACGCAGCGCTGTTTCACTTGCTCTAACAGTTACACTATCACACTAAACGGCATTTGAATGTGTTGAATGTTATTAGTTAGGTTGTTTGTTGGCTGTATGAGACTAGCAGTAAGCTAGATCAACATTAGAATAACATACAGATCATATTCTAAAATTTCATCATATTGAACTAAATAACATTGATTAGTTGTATGTACATTTGCTCACGTGTCTAATAAAGTACATGGAACACTCACGTCTCTGTCAAGTCGAAGTTAGTCGCGGACGTGGAGCTCTCGGCATCTCGAAAGATTTTGATCTTCGTTCTAGTCCTCTTTTTGTCTCAAAGTCTGCTTGCCATGGTCTAAAATGTTTGAACAAAACAACAACAGCGTGAGCATCCTGGTGAGCATAACCCAGTTGTCCACGTCTGTCGCCATGGTTACTATAGCAGTATGAGTGGAAACCGAGGATAACGCGGATATGACGCCATTGACTGGCGACTCCTCACCCCTGCTGACACGTCCTGTTTCCTTGGTTAAAATTGCAATTTTCTCACGATTTACAAATAGTTGGAAAAATTGGGGATATTGTAAGTAATCAACTAAACAAAATATATAACATTGGCCTAGTGGTGTTTGGATATTTCAAAAATCCTACATATTGCACCTTTAATATACTCACACGCTCCCTCTACACTACAGAAATGATGATCTGAAAACACAGACAAGTAAGCTGGAGTTTAGCGATCTCCATTTGAGATATCTGCTTTAATGAAAGTGTCATTTAGTCAGTCTGTGTTCTGTTACTATCAGCTTTTTTCTGCTTGCTGCGACTAAATCCTAAATCCTTCTCAGTGATGAAGTGTAATAAATCCAAACATGGATCTTGGCTATATTTGCGATTGTGGTTGCTGAATAAATGTACTTTATTTTTGTTTTTGCTGGGGGGGTTTTATTAGAAAAACAATGTAATTTGAAATGATTAGGAATTTACTATTAGGAATTTCACCATTTTAATTTTTGAGAGAAGTTTCTTGTTTTACTAGTTTTCTTAATGTGGAGAGTTGTTAATATATTTGATTAATAGTCCTATAAATCAGGAAACTGGATTAGGTAAAATATACCTTGTGTATGAGTTGTCATTCTCTTGATTTGTGCTTGGGTGAAAGTGCAATTCTGATTAAATGTAAAAAAAAAAAAAAATTCTCAAATGACAACAATCGTTGATTGCAATTTTGAGTAAAATCATTTTGATTATCATTTTATGCAGCATAACAAAAATATGCTGCATAAAGTTTTCATTGACTAAAACTAGACTAAAATTCCCACACATTTACCCACGGTTTTACAGACAAGGCTAAGTCTAGTCCTAGACCAAAATGCATATTTGACCTGTTTTAACTGTGTGGCGAGGGCAGCGAGTCTGTGATGGGAGATGAGCGGTGAGTAAGTGGATCAAGTGCAAAATGACTAACACCTATTTGAATGAAAAACAGCCTTCACTACGTCGTTTGGATTACACTAATTTGTTATGCTTCCTTTTGGGCCTCCACAAAATTTTACCTGCACAATGCAGTCAGGCAGGTTCTCCTGGTATCCATCAGATAGATACCCATCAGACTGCCAAACAGAGGAGCATGATTCATCACACCATAACATGTTTCCACTGTTCCAGAGTCCATTGTACTTGAAGTTGTTTGATGAACAAAAATGTAAATTTTTATTCACGCTTATTATATTTTAATCCGTGATTTGTTTGCTATTCTGATCATTTTGCATTCTTTTTTTTTCAGTTTGTGCAATATATCTTTACCTGTATTTTTACATTTTTGATTCAAGCTTTTTATTTTGTGATCCATGGCCACAATACATGTGGTGGCATATTGATCCCATACATCATACCTATATGCTTTTTTTCTTTTTCTTTTTTTTTTCAAAGAGTTACAAGCAGTCTTGTTTTGATCACTTACCATACTCAAGCATCTTCTGAGTTAGTCTGACTTTAACTCCTGCATTGTTGCTTGTAGACACTGAGACCAGGTTCACAAGAACCAAAACACCCCAAAGGAACATCATTTTCAATCTAGCCTATGAGAGACACACATCATGGGCATAAGATTAGTTGTTTTTAACTGTCAGGTGACCGATTTAATCAGCTCCTGGCTAATCCAATTGTTTCTATTTTAAACACAGTGACATTTAGTACTAATTACATCAGCTCCTGTCCTGTGTAGCCAATCCAGCACTTCAAAAAGCAACAATCAGCTTTTGGTTTTGTGCCTACATTTTTTTATTGTGACATCTCCTTAATAAATAAACTTAACATTATAAAATATATAGAAAATTTTATTTTTAAAATAATTTACTACACAATGTGATCTGTCTTTATCAATGTCTTTATATACAGTTTTTTTAAGAACTAATCTACATTATGGCATGCTTGTTGGTCTGACCAGTTTAACTGACTTTTCCCAAGTGAAAATAAACATCCTCTATCTTTTTAACACAGCTTCCCAAAACTCGCTTTAATCAGTTCTCTAATCTCACTTAGTTCTCAAATGCACAATGTTCTGCATGACGAATGACACTCAAAGTAAACATTTAGCACACGCTTGACTGAAATGTTTCTCTTAAGCCTTATGCGTAAAATAACTAGTTGTGTCCAAACTGTTTCACTGGTAGTGTACATGCATACACATAATTAACCTTTAAGTATTTACAATGTACAAAAAAAACAAAAACAAAACAAAAAAGGCACTCTGCTTTTGCTGGAGAATGAGGAAATGGTTGAGACAAGCAAGGTTTTGATTTGATATGTTGCCCTAAAAGAGACCTTTGTCTTGCAGTCAGATGAATTAAGCCACATGACTGTGAACAAGTTGATGTTATGCTTATATTGAATTAAGGCGAGCTATAATTAAATGCAGATAAGAGGAGTCACTTTGCTGGAATGTGCCATGTGGTTTATTTACTGCTGTAGAATTTTTTTTTACTGATCTTTTACTAAATTTAAAATTTTACAACTTTATTTTTATATCCAACTGTACAATATGAGAAAAACAATATACAATATATTCACTAAATGAATATTTCTAACATAGTTACAAACTCTGTAACTATGTTACAAATCATGGACTGTTGATATCAACAAATATCTACGCATGAACTGCGTAGATATCACAACCATCTCTTGTGTAGAACCATAAACACAAGCAAATTAATTTTAAATATAAATAACAATCCGTAGAATACACTTAGCATTATCATTAAATGTATACATATAGTACAGATTAGATCTGAACAGATCAGGGAAAAAACACATTTCACACATAAATTGAAAATATGTTGGCTGGTGTTGTTCAGATATTGATATGTATGTGCACTATACCTTGAACTGTTGTGATGTGCTAAATGGCTGGTCTCTTCCTGTCCGGATGCATGAACTGTCTGCTCCCTGGCTAGCAGCAGCACTGAGTGGAACTGAAAGAGAAACATTACACCACTAATTCAAAGCAACAGGAAGACTGTCAAGTTCACTTAAACAGCAGCATGCTGTAGCATCCATATCTGAGCAGACAAACTATTCAACCATGAGAGGTTTTATTTAGAGATTGAGGGTTGTGAACTTTGGATTCTCTTATTTTCCCCAATGAATATTCATTTTCCCAATGAGTAAAAATGATAACGGTATCATTAAAGAAGGGTAATTCTAAGTAAAAGGCTTTACTTTAGAATGTTGATGCCCATATTGTACAGAGCAAGATACTGCACTGGATGGTGTTTTGTTGTTGATGTCAAAAGCTGTGTGTCCAACCAAATTATTATATTTTGACCAAAAAATAAAATAAATCTGTGACTAATATTTCTAATACACGTGACACACACACACACACTTTACCAAATAATTGTTACATTGACACTTTTTTCATTTTATTTACTCATGTATGGAAAATTCTTAAATGGGTAGTGTTTCAGAGCTCCGTACGTTAATGGAGCGTTTCATAGTGTTTTAACTTGGACTCAAATATAAAGAAATGCGGTCAGTGCTTAACTCAAGCAGTTAAGTGAAGTTGGCAATACACATAGGCTATTCGAACTTCCCGGATCAATATTCTTGAGCTAAACGTTGTTAAAACACAAACGACACCTATTTACAATCACAGTAACCTAGACAACGAGCTACAACCCAATTCTCCTCAAAACAATGGTGATTGATGAACTTTTTAGTTAATCATCACTGTGTATTTAAGTTCCGCCCTTTGTGCTGTTCATTCCTAATAAATCTTATGTTATTTCATTTTCATCTTTGTCTTCATTGGATCCAGCGTTACAATATGTTAAAAACGAGAAATAACAAAGCGAAAAAACTGTAAATTATTGTAAAGCTTTAAATCTATCATTTGAATGATTTATGATGCATACAATTTATATTGCTTGATTATAGACATGCATTTTTTTCTTTTTATTATTATTTATTATATTATATTATTATATTATATTTACTAATATTTTATTATTGCCTATGTACTGCGGTATGTTCAAGAGAGGCCTAGGATAACTCTCTGGGTGCTTCTCAATACTTGATGCTTCCTCGTTTCTTCACTCCTCTGTCCTCCAGCCCGTGACCCGGAAACCGATCGAATTCAGTCATATTGAAGGACATCTCAATTCTCTAAATGCACCACGAGGAGGCGAGGAACGAGGAGCGAGGACGCTTCCAGAGGAGCTATGAGCGAGGATGCACAGGTGTATATGCAAAAGTCTTTCTTGTCGAGAAACCTGACGCACGTATAAATTATTCTCCCCCTTCACATCTGTCACAATCATTTTAATTTACGCTTTACCTTTGCAGTTTAAATAAATCACATATCACACATATATTAACAGGGAATCTTGCTTCATCTTTATTATTTATTTATTTCTTAGATAACCCAACTTTAACTACATAAGGGCAGATCATTTGAGCGCAGCTGATGACGCTTTGAAGTGATACTCGAGTGATCAAGAATATTCCAATATACAAATGATTTCCTTCGATTCCTCCGTCCTCATTTTCTTTCCTAGCAGCCTTCCCTCGCATCCTACAGGGGGTGGAGCTGAGACGTGAGGAAAGGAAATGAGTATGCACAAATAAGAAATGAGAAGCACCCTCTGTGTCTTTTTTTGTGTTCTTACACTCCTATTGTGGATGACATTAAGGGTGCTTCTCATTTCTTATTTGTGCATCCTCGTTTCCTTTCCTCGCTTCCTTTCCTCGCGTCTCAGCTCCACCCCCTGTAGGACGCGAGGAAGGCTGCAAGGAAAAAAAATGAGGACGGAGGAATTGAATGAAAGCTTTTTTATACATTGGAATACTTGATCACTCGAACGTCACTTCACTGCGTCATCAGCAGCGCTCAAAGGATCTGCCCTTATGTTGTTAAAGTTTGTTTATTTAAGAAATTAATAATAAATAATAATAAAGCAAGATACCTTGTTGAAATATGTGAGTTGTGTGGTTTATGTAAACTACAAAAGTAAAGTATAAATTCAAATGATTGTGACAGATGTGATGGGGGAGGAGAATTGATACGTGCGTCATGTTTAGTCGATAAAACTCTTCCGCAAAGGGTACACCTGTGTATCCTCGCTCATGACTCCTCTGGAAGCCTCCTCACTCCTCGATCCTCGCCTCCTCGCGGTGCAATTAGAGAATTGAGATGTCCTTCAAGATGGCTGAGCTCGATCGGTTTCCGGGTCATAGGATGGAGGACGGAGGAGCTAGGAGACGAGGAGGGATATTGAGAAGCACCCTAAGAAAACAAGAGAAGGTGTTTTCTGAGGTCTACAGGGTAACTCTCTGTCTTGGATTTGTGTTCTTTCTGTTTCCGGTGAGACTGTGGATGTATATATGAGCCCGTTCTCATCCCAAGGCGTAATATACTGACTCTTTTGCCAAAGCGTCTAAATCCAACGCACATGGCTAGCCTGGCTAACGCCAGACCCAATCTCGTTGAGACTTGGGTCTGGGAACCACATGTTCATTTTCTCGTATTTGAGGCGTGGTTTACGAATGCCCAGAGCCGTTTATTGGGTGCTAAGAATGTCTATCAAATGCGCCTGTACTACAACAGTATTACATTTAACTTATATGCGAATGTTGTACACCTCCCCATTACAAACTTTCAAGACTATCAATGTTATAAAATGACCAACTTCTAAAAACAAATGTATAGTTGTTTTTGTAAAGAATTGCTCGCTTATATATAATGCCGAAGTCATTTTTCAATGTCTTTGGAAAACAAGAAAAAACACAAAATGACTTAAGCAATTATGCTATGAGGCTAACGATATGTAGCTTTGGAGCCGCTGCTGTGACACTGTCTACAAACGCTTCCAGTGTGAATACTCTCGCGCGTCTGCAGCTGCAGTGACGATGTTACGCTGACGCGCTGCTCAAATGCCGCTCACGCTTGCGGTGTGAAACCTATGTGTGAAACGGCCGTAATGGTGTGTTCACACCGAACGCGAATTTAATTATTTGGGCGAGTAGATTACATACAAAGTCAGTGCAAAGACGCGAATAGACGCATCATTCGCGCCGGGCGTTGCGAATGACGCGAATTGGGCGACGCGTTTGCCGCGAATGTCTTCCGCGCAAGTTGAAAAATTTGAACTCGAGCGAATGTTCAAGCGTCTAACTAAACGCGATAGACGCGTATTTGACGCTCTATTCGCGTTCGGTGTGAACACACCATAAGGCTGCATCGAAAGGTAACTTCGCGTCTACTGCCATGTTTGATCCATAGGTATAAACAAACTGCTTCGGTGTGTCGCATAGACGCGTCATCGTCTTGCTGCTCCCTCCCCGTTCTGTGATTGGTTCCCTAAATGAGGCGAAAAATCTGGCCATGGTATCCAGACTGCCTTTCAGCGTGAATTGAATCGCGCTGCGGTAAGGCAGTATGGGGAAACCCAGGCTAGCGCATGGCACCCTTTAGCGTCATATGAGACGCAGATATATGGCGCCTCCTAGTGGTCTAACCCTAACACTACCCCAGACCTAAACCTACCCAAAACCGAAGCGTGTTATATTGACGCTAAAGGGTGCCATATGCGTTGGATATAGACGCTTTGGCAAAAGAGTCAAAATATTACGCTTTGGGATGAGAATACGTTGTATATATATATATATATATATATATATATATATATATACACATCCACATGTATATATACTGTATATATATATATATATTGCATCCACAGTCTCTATTTACAGTCTCTAAATATACTATTTATGACTTTGATTTGATTGTTTTTTGTTCCTTGCAATTGAATTTCTTATTTTCTTTCCCTTTAAAAAAATAAAATGAAATTCGACCAACATTGCACCTTATCAGATATATAATATATTTATGTATGATAGCATAAACATTAAAACAAACTTTAACATTAGACATTAAGTTTATGTAATAATACCTTTGTTTTTACTTTTTGTCAGCTGTTTTCAAAACAATTTTATGTTGTTTTTATTCTGTTTTTTGCCATAATTGACACAAAACACGATATGCTCTCGTTGTGTCGTGGCGACATCATGTGGTCAACATGTGAACGTGAACTCTGATTGTCTGGAACTTACTGAAGTCTGAAGTGGGACATTTTAGCTCGGCCTCATTTCGAAGGCTGAGACCTCCGGAGGTCGCATTTGTCGGCCGCATACCCCTTATGAAAAAAAATCACTTCAGTATACTTTTATAAACTGTACTTATTACACAAATAATATACTTTAAAGCAACACACTTAAGTGTGAATTAAATTTAATTTATAAGTTTTCGACAAACTTAATACATATTATATGTAATTGATTTCAAATGTATCACAGATTAAGTTGATATTAAATACAATTAGTTGAACTTAAGAGTGATTTTTTTAAACCACTTAAATGGGACTTTAAAACAACTTTATATGTACTTTCATAATTGCTTCTAGTATCTTTAAAATATAGTTAAAGTGCACTGCTCAATTTACTGACAAGCAATTCATGTGAACTAAAATAACTTTATATAATATAAAATAATATATCTAAAATAATATTATATAATTAAATACATTTGTAATTTGTAATTATTTGTAATGAAGGCGCAATTTAGTATATTTCAAATTTTATTTTAAATATCTCTTAATTACCTAGTTACAATCAACACAAATGCAATTGAAACCTCAACATTTTTTGACAAAATCATTCAAACAAATACACAAAAACCTTTTTGTTGATGCACAAGAAAACCCCAAGAAACACTATACACAAGCACAAACAGTTACAACACTTTAACTCTCATTTAGAAAGAGTCTGGAGGACAATGAGGCTTATAAGCATCATTCACACACAATTCATACACAAACCCTCACATAAAGAGATATCTGAACCTAAACCTACCCATCACAAAAAACATTCTGCATTTTTACATTTTCAAAAAACATCA